CCTTGCCCGTGTCCGCCCTTTTTCTTGGTCATATTTGGTTCCATTACTTTAAATTTGAATCAAATTGAAACAAAATCCCAGGTAAAAGAACGAAAATTAAATTGAAAATGTAAATTATTAAGAAAAAAAACTAAAATTCAAAGAAAAATTCGAAAATCTATTTTCAATACCGAATTATCAAGGAATTCTGGTCAAAATATTCGGAGAAATGCAAAAAAAATACTTCAGTTTCAAATAAAACCAAAAAAATATTCTAAAATCCCGAAAATAGAAATCAAGATTTAAAGGAATTTAGAAAAATATTTAAATTTATTTTCAAACCCGATGTTATGGTGGGAAATATTTAAAATTCCGAAAAAACGAAAATAAATAAATAAAAATCTTCCAGGGGAGATTTAGGTTTAATTATTATTCCAAAATCTATATATATAAAAGCGAATGTATGTATGTATGTATGAGTGTCTGTGTGTTCCGGGTTGGCGTCCAAACGCCTCAACCGATCCGGGTAAGAGTGGTACCGTTGGAAAGGTCTTGGCCCGGCGGTGAACATAGGCACCATCATGGTCGGCCATCGTGGTCTAACACGGCCATTATGGCCAAAAAACCGTATTTTCACCGTTATTTTGCACATTTTATTGTCAAAAAGGCGAGAATGGACCGTGGTAAGCTGTGGTGGCCATGATGACCGACCATGATGGACCGTGGTAAATGGTTTAAAATGAAAAAATTTGACGATTAAGCGATTTTAACATCATTTAGTTCGTACATCACGGTCCATCGTGGCTTAAGACCATTTAACACGGTTACTGATATCGGACATCATGCTCCATCGTGGTCTAACATCATTTAACACGATCATAAAATTTGACGATCATGGTAAAAAGTGTCAAAACATGATTTAACATGGTTTACGGGGTCGCCTATCATGGTAAAAAATTATCAAAACTTGATTTACCATGTATTTCGAGGTCGACCATCATGGTAAAAAGTGTCAAAACATGATTTAACATGGTTTACGGGGTCGGTCATCATGGTAAACACTCTTAAAACATGATTTACCATGGATTTAGAGGTTGATGATCATGGTAAAAAGTGTCAAAACATGGTTTACGGGGTCGGCCATCATGGTAAAAAATGTCAAAACTTGATTTACCATGTATTTCGAGGTCGACCATCATGGTAAAAAGTGTCAAAACATGATTTAACATGGTTTACGGGGTCGACCATCATGGTAAAAACTGTTAAAACATGATTTACCATGGATTTTGAGGTCGATCATCATGGTAAAAATGTCAAAACATGATTTAATATGGTTTACGGAATCGGCTATCATGGTAAAAATGTTAAAAATACGTGAAATATTAACAACATGACCGAGTTTAACCATGATGGACTGTGTTAAACCGTGGAAAACGGCTTAAAAACCATAATAATTAATGGGCCTGATAATACTTTTGAAATTTTTCAAGATATGTAAAAAAAATATAAAAGTATCGGAAGAAACTAGTATGCCGAGGCGAGCGAAGCGAGTCGAAGGCATGCTAGTATTTAAATATTAAGAAAATCAATCAAAATTCCCTAAGAAAATTCCATATTAAATCTCGATACTTAATGGGTTAACTATCTGATTAAAACAGACCATAAAAGGTTAACACCAATTCGTGTTTTGAAAGCGATCGCTATTTACCAACAGATGGTGCCTAACGTCAAATGGTTGAAAAATGAATCACTTACAGAAAGTCGACACGAAACCAAAACGTGATTTTGCAACGAATTTCCACAATTTTCTCACAAAAGCCACTGAAAATGCGTTTGAATGACGATGAAAATCACGTATGAATTTGTATTTGGCGGCCAGTTAGAACAAATTTTCACAAAAATCGGCAATGAAAAATGTGCACCTGTCACAACAGTACCGCACAAAAATGAATGATGTTTAACACAAATCACAATAAAACACTCAAAACAATTAAATTTCAATTTATTTTGGTGAGTCGTCGTTGCTTTCATTAAATGAAAGCAAATTTTCAAATAATTTCCAAGATTTTAATTAATTGAACAAATTTTATTTAAATTGTGGCTAAGCGAACACGAAAACGATGTGCACTTGTCAAAACGTCAAAGCAAAAGTTACCCTAAGAATGACACCTTCTTCAAGGGCGTATTTCCACACCAAAAACCTCAATTCTGCATTGGAAAAAATAATCGTACCCCTCCCCCCCGGAAGTCGATTACATGAGAGTGAAAATATTTTTTTGTCATATCTTCATTGATTTGTCTTCAAGAAGTCTCAATTGAACATTTAAAGCGATTTATGTGGATATTTATGCTTTTTATTATCAAATTTTAATGTTGGTACACATTACCCTACCTTTTGGAAAAAGTCCAAAAATCTTCATTTTTGAAAATGTGAAAAAAAATGAAAAAACCAAAATTTTGATAATCTGCCCTTACCGATATTTAGGATTTTCCTTTCTCTACAGAATGAAGCCATCAGTTGTTCAAATATTCAATTGAACGCTCTAGAATAAAAACAACGTACAGAATGGTTGTTATATCAAAGCGGAACACTGCGTTTTTTTTATATAGAATTGTTGTTGTATTTCGTTCAATTTTTTTTTATATTTTTATGAGACTAAACAAAAAAGTGGTACACATTACCCCACCTTACTCTATTTGTAAATCGAAGAAAAAAAAATTAATATGAAACTCTCGGAGACTCGGTATAATAGGCACTAAAAGTAAAAAAAATACAATTTTTTCTCAATTCTTGAACACTTCTATCTATAATTTGAAATAAAAAATCGCTACGAACGAACGAACAAAATTTTTATTTTTCAATTCCTACGAACGAACTAACGAACGAATTTTTTTCAATTCCTACGAACGAACGAAAGAACTCAATTTAATTTTTAAATTTCTACGAACGAACGAACGAACAAAAAAAATTTTTCCATTGCCTACGAATGAACGAACGAGTGTTCGTAGATGTTCGCAGCCAACACTAACCGAGAGCTGCTATTTACCATTGTTTGGCATCGAGACATTGTTGCGGCAAGGTGCATAATGTACAAAGGTACAACTTTCTGTAGTTATTTATTTATTTATTTATTTGAGGTTTTAATGTCTACCTAAAGCAGGACGACAGTACAATAGTTATGCTTGGAAAAGAGTGGAATATACCCTCATTAAAAACCAAGATCTTTTCAATCAAAATCAATTCAAATTTCAATATGTAATTAGTATAATACTAATAGCAAAATAAGTTATCACTACAAAACGAAAATAACAAAAGTATAGAATTCAAAACAAAATTCAATGTTAATAAAAATTATAACAATAGTTGCTGGTCAATAATAAATCAAATCAAAATATGTAATATAGATATCACAAAAATTAGTCTCTTGCACTACGTTAAGCAAAATAAACATTTAATACTCTAAAATCAGTCATAAATTATCACATATTGACAATCATCGTCATAAAATCTGTTTCTGTTATCATGGGCAATTGATTCCTTCATCAAACTCAGTTCATTCAGCAGCAGATATAGTCCCGTATTCCGTCATTTAAGATGTAAAAGCTCGCCAAAAACTATGTCTGGCAATCGTAAATTTATTTTGAATAGTATTAACTCAAATTCATTGATTACAGCTCTGTGTTTCATTTTCGATTTAACATTGATGAATTCGTTTGTGAGACAACCACGATTACAAAGACCGCCGTATCGAAAAAAAAAACCTAAGATCAACCAGCATCAACCAGTGACCGGTTCGCGCATATTTCTATGCTTGCCTAAATACGCTAGGTAGCATAGATATGCCAAGCATAGCCGCAAACGCAACCGACGCATCGCCGTTCACTCTATATGAACAATGCACATGTTCGTTTATGCAGACGACCGTGCGCATACAATATAGCTCGAATCGAATGGCGACGGGTGCGTTGCGGCTTGAGTCTCCGCTATGCTTAGCATAGCTATCAGGCATAGAAATATGCGCGAACCGGTCACTGGCATCAACCAATTGAAGAAAAGAAAACATGTTAACTAAAATAGTTATTACCAAAGCTTGTATTTTTTGGCTTTGATTTGTATATAATATCTGAGATACTATGTATAAAGTACCCCATGGCAAGTATGATTTTACCAACTAATTGATTACAATTATTATTGGTGTTGATTCATTGATATAAATAAATTTAATTCGAGTGTAGCGCACAGTTAATGATAGAAATTGGGTAAATCACGGTCGATTTTAAATCTCTATTTTAATTAACATTTTGATTTCAATTCATAGGGAATTTTATGCATAACTCTTTTTGTCTCTTTTTTTCATTCTATTGTGACGATAAATTTGACTGGAACAACACACAAATGCAACCCCGCATTCGACCATCAATATATGCCCCAACTGTTTAGTGGGTATTGTTGGCAAGCAAATTGTGAATGGTGAATGGAAAGGCGACCGAGCGGGTGGCTGTCAAAATCATCCAGCTACGTATCGAAATAATCCGAAATATATGCTGAAGCTTGGCCCAAAAGATTTCAGTAATCTAGTGATCGAACTTCGTGGACCAAAAGTCTATCAAGTTGGATTTGAAATCATCGTTGTTTCTCTGGAAGATCCAAATGTTACTGCACCATTTGTTTCAAAAAGTACGGGAAACTATCGTTCAGGCTATTGTGTGATGGACTTAGATGATATGCCGGCCGGTAATTATCATATTATAACATCAACATATTTACCGGGCCAGGAATCGCCGTTTATTCTTAGTGTCAAGGCCACTACAAATCTTACTATTGAACCAATCAATTAATATGTATATATTTATTTGTTTTTATTGAAGAAGCTTTAGCTTATAAGCGACGTACAAAGTGATTTTGTTTGTAAAACACCTTCAACTTATTGATGATTTGTTGTTACGTAAATAAAAATACTTTTGTTCGAAAATTAATAGAAATATACCTTTTTACTGTAAAAGAATGTGTGTCAGTGCATTCCGGGTGAATTTATTAATCAAATAAAAAACTTTTGTCAAAGAACGAATTACAAAACTTTTGTCAAATAATTTATGATATCAATTTGATAGATCATTTTTTGAATTGAAAAATTTCAATTTTTTATACAAAATACACTAACGGGCACTGAGTGCCCCAAAGATGAAGTGATACAATTTAGTAAACATTTGTTCAGCCAATATTAATTTTTTTTGTCAGCACAGTATCCGATGCGCACATTCATGTTAATTTCAAATTTTAAATTCTATCTCTTTAGTGGATTCGATAGATAGACGAGGCGGTCAACGGTGAAGTTACGATGCAGCGCAAATCCAAAGAGTCCACAATGGCCTTGACAACAAAGAGAAAACACATAAATTTGTTATTAGTACAAAATAGTATTTTATGCTTCAATTTCATTCACTTTCTCATTTGGAATCCAACTTTAATTCAATGAATACATTACCTTTGTACATTATCAGTTTTGCATAATAGTGTTCCTCTTCGGCGACATAAAATTCATCATCGCGAGGCATGTAATCCTCAGTAAAATCGATGACATTTTCGTCGCAAATAATGCCTGGTAGCTGAGCAACGTTGTTAACAGCACGCGTTTTTGTCGCCACTTTTTTCTGTAACAAATGACTTTTGATACAAATCGTATGGTTTTGATAATAATTCGTTAAATTTAATCAAATCAATTTATAGTATTATCTCTCAAAGAGTTAAAGTCAGTAATTCTGAATCAGATAATGTCGCGATTGATAATGACATTTTACAAGGAACTAATTTCGGCCAATTATGTTTCTCCTTCTTTTTCAATACTCTCAATATTACGGAACACATGATCGGTCATTTATTCGGAGACGATTTCCAAGCTCATATAGAAGTTGATTTTAATAATATTAATGACGGAATAAATAAAGTAAACTCTGACTTAGCTAAAATTAATGATTATATTACGCGTCGTGGTTTAGCTTTGACCCTCTAGTGCCTTCTAAATAAAAAATAAGCCGAAATAATACAAACGATTGGCACCACTCTCGAGTTTAGTACTGACACTTTATCCACAGCACTGACATCAACATGAGAGAAAAACATAGGGGAGAGGTCCGTAGGTTGAAACGGGTTTTGATTTTTAGCCAAAAAAAATTACTCAAAGAAAATATTACGGAGAGTCATATATCGTTGAAAAGGTAATGTTCTTGGCTACATTTTTGCCGAAGAAATTAATTGAATTACTTTAAGAACAAAAAAGTTATGACCAATTTTCCGACCACATGATTTTTTCCCAAAAAAAAATTTGGTCCGTAGGTTGAAACACACATTGCAATTGAGAAAAGGGTGCAATTAATGAAATAAAAACACTAGCTATCAAGTGTTTATTGTTTATTTATTTATCAGAAAGGCCTCAAACATGAAAAAGAGAATAAAAAAATCGAAATTTCATTAATTTTCGTCAGACAGATCGGCATCCGAGTCGCAATTTTGGCACGTGAAATAGCTTCGTCTCATGTTAACGCACTTTAAATGAAATGGCCGCTGGCACTTGTTGCGTTCGATTGAGTTGTTTTTGGTTAATTTGGCTGGCAGGTTTTCCAAGCAGATCATGCAGAAATCCACATCTTCATCCGACGACGATGACGATTCCTTCTTTGAGGCGGCTGCCCGTGTAGGCTGTGTTCGCTTTTTGGCTGGCTCTTTTTGAGATGAAAGTTTTCGCTTCTGTGTGCTTTCTTTCTTTTTCGCATCTTCACGCTTTTACCGATTTTCCTTGACTTTTGCGATATTTTCTATTGATGTGAGAACTGTGCTCTTCATACGACCGCGATTGGATTTTTTCTGTGGCATAGCTGGCTGAACGGGTCCAATTTCGGAAAAAAATTCCATGGACTTCTGTGTGTTGAACATAGTAGTATGAGCTTCTAGAATGTTCCATTTGATTTATTTAAATTAGGTATGCACTTCCCTCTAAAACACGTAGCGTTATATAGTGTTTCAACCTACGGATCTTCGAGTTTTTCAACCTACGTACATTGTCACCATTTTTACCTGACACGAAAATTCTTGTGGATGCAAAGATATGTTCAAAATTCCTTCGGCATATTAAAATGGACCAAAAACTGTGGTGCAAATGTCATATTAATATTTTTCTGGCACTAAAGAAAATTGACATTTTTCACTTAAGGAAAATTCTCGAAATAAGTTTTTTCAACAAATTTTTTGGTATGATCTAACTTAAACATAAGGAATGGGAGTTAGTAAGTCTGTCTACCATGAAAAGTTGGCTACTAAAAATACAGCAACTTGAAAGTATAAACCACAGTGCTACCAGTTGCCATATTTTAAAATATGTGACTGTTTCAACCTACGGACCGTTTCAACCTACGGACCGTTTCAACCTACGGACCTCTCCCCTACATTAATTTATAGCCTCTAGCATTAATTTTTTTCTGAGTGCAGAAATTCAGTTCTGTAAAGTTTTAAATATTCGTTTGAGAAATGTTTGTAATCTATTGAATTGAATTTTCAGTGTTTTAGTTCGTTGGTATCTACCTATTTCGGAATAGTCTCAAAAGTCCTTTTTCATGGTCTAATATTTATGTCGGAATTAAATCGGTTCCAAAAAAATTATGTCGGACTTTTGTCGGTGGCTGGGGGGCGCTTTTAAAAAAAGGACTTTTCGTAAAAACGTGGGATATTCATCAACTTCCGACACCACCACCATAAGTGAAAAAAAGGTATGGAAATTATGTCGGAATTATGTCGAAAAAAATGCCAAAATTTGTTTTATTACAATAGTTGAAATAAAAAAAAAACTCTTGAAAATATTTTTTTATGTGTTATATTAATGTCGGAATTATGTCGGTTATAAAGACTTAAGAAAAAAGCAAATGAAATGTGAATATGCTGTTAGGGTGGTTTTTTCTGGTCATTTTTCGGAATTTGTTGGGCTAATAGTTTTTTTGCGTCTATTAGACGTTAGAAACAACATACCGGTGTAATTTTTGGTTTTCGTCTCACCAGTAAGTAGCGCAAGAGCTGTCTTGATTCCATGATGGATCCTTTGGAACACTAGATTTTGTGAAAATATAAAAACACAATTTCTCAATCACATCGGTCCGAAATGAAGAGTAATAATCATTTATGACCAGAATTTAGGTTCTGGTGAAGTTTCAAGCGATTTGGATGAAAATAGAACAGTTTTTACTTAAAATCGGAGAATGTACCAAAGGTAATACACATCTCCATAGATTGATGTGTATTGAAGCTGGAATGCTTTTCAACAAAAAATAATTGATTATAGCTTTGGTATACAGTCATTTGGTCGTTCCATATAGGTCGAAGACTGATATTTTTATTGAACATTGGGAAATGTAGAAATATGGTCTAATCGGGTCGAATGGTCACTTTTTGTATACCTTACATAAAAAATTAATTTGTTTATAAATTACAATAATTTCAAAAAAAATGTTTCATCGATTAAATAAGAATCCAATGTAAATAGTAATAACAATGCAGCACCTACCGTAAAAATGCACAAAGAAACTTAGTTGGTCTCCATTGTAGCATTTTGGTCCGCCATGACAGCATCTTCGTTTTACTTGACCAATCACAGAGAATCAAAACGAAGATGCTTTCATGGCGGACCAAAATGCTACAATGGAGACCAACTAAGTTTCTTTTTGCATTTTTACTGTAGGTGTCGCATTGGTATTACTTTTTACATTGGATTCTTGTTCAATCTATGAAAAAAAAATTGAAATTATTGTTATTTTTAAACAAATAAATTTAAAATATAGAGAATTTTTATGAAAAACGTAAGGAGAATATTTTATGATATGTTTCTTTTTTTTACTCGACCGTTCAAAAATTATGCATGTTGAATGAAGAGTTTATATATTATATTATATTACGATACTAGAATGTATTTTAAATGGTAGAGTGATTACAGGCCTACAATCACTCTGCCGTATATAATACATTGTGGTTGTGTATGCCTACTTATGCCTAATGTATGCCTAATGTATGCCTACGATATGCATACGATATCACAATGTGAATTAAATGGAAGGGAGATTGTAGGCCTTACCCCCCCCTGTGATTTGGATGAGAAAACATTTTTCGCGAAAATTATTCGAATTTGCTAGGGTTTTTCATGAAAAAATTGAAGACCTTTTTTTTTTTTTTTTTTTTAGCTCATCAATGTAGAAAATTGAGGAGAATTCCTTAAATTTGCTAGGGTTTTTGGTTCCGAGAGATTTTTTTCCGATTTGCTAAGGTTTTTCGCGGAGAAAATTCTTTCGATTTGCTAGGGATTTTCGCCTCAAAAAGTGACTTCCAAAAAAAAAAAAAAAAA